AGGAATCCGCGAGCAGTTGTCCAACAAGAGCAGGAGGGAGAGAAGGAGGAAGAAGGGATCGAGGACGCCATGTAGGACGAGGAAGAGGGAGAGAAGGGAGGAAAATGAAGGTGAGCAGTGAACTATCTATGTTTTCTTTGTTTAGTTTGGTCTTGTGTTTTCCATGAACTATCCAAGTTGTCGTTTTAGTTAGTCATTGTGTTTTCCGAGAACCATCCATGTTGTTTTTGTAGTTTGGTCTTGTGTTTTCCATGAATTATCCATGTGTCTTAATGTAGTACGGTATTTTGTGTTTCCATTGATCACAATTCCATCTTCATTACACTCACTCCATTACAATTACTCAATAAGATTAAAATAAATGCCCAATTTAAACATCATTACAACTTAACAATCATTAATGAAAAACAACATCCTCAAACTTGGTCCGAATTTATGACCGAACCTTGCTGGAGAGGTGAACCTGGGCAACGCCTCTTGTCATGTTCAGGTTGTCTGCACTTGGAGCAACGTTTCGGACCTCGCCGCGAATGTTGTGATTGATCCATCTCATTTGTGATGGTATTCTGGGATCAGTTGGGTTTGGGGGCAAGATTGTGAGGAAGAAGAGCTCTGGCATTAGAGAAGGGTTGCCGACGCTGATTGGGTTGAATCATAGATGTGGATGGTGGTGAGGCATAACAAACCAAGAATTAAATCAAAGGGCTCCTCTGTTTAATTTGCCGTCCAAAATTCTCTATCCATAAAGGGTATTTTTGAACTGTAAATTAGACCCAATTCTTGAGGTTCCACCGTCAAAGTTCATTAGTCGTCACAAAAAATAAAAAGGTTATTTTGGGAAGAAATTGGTCAATCCTTAATGAATCCGGTTCCATCATAAATAAATAAAAAATTATGATTAATTTTTTTACCGACACCAACCTTGTCAGAAATAATTGAAGGGTATTTTTGGAAATTAAATTTTCATTCCCATTTTTGTGGTTTTTTAACGAGCCAATATCGTTAAAAAAATAAAAGGGTATTTTGGTCATATAATTATTTATTTCTGATGACATTTATTTGTAAATAGAAAAAAAAGCTCCCTCACAAATAAACTTTATCATTTTTTGAGCGTCAAGTATAATTTATTTATGACAACTATATTTTGGTTCATGACAAACAAATTTACGTCATAAAATAGTTTTTTATGACGCCCTTACTTTTGGGACTTTTTGCGATGATACTTTTTTCCATAACGACCAACGACCGTATTTCATCGTAAAAGGTCTTTTTCGATGGCAATCGTCTGGTCATACCTGACTGTCATTTTTGTAGTGATTATTTTTTAATATAATGGTTATTAACTTAGTTAGGATGGTCCTAAACCTGTAAAAAGTTAGCAACTAATGTATATTTAATTGCATTTCTTGCAAATTTGCAAATATGCAAATGGATAGCGACATCAATGCAATTGATTTTGCAATTGCATACACCCATTTCATGTCGTCTAGTATAATATGATCAAGTGCACCCAAGGGTTCATTCTGCAATGACATAGACGCTCACATCGAAAATTGTAGGCAAAACAAAAGAACAATTCTTAAAGTAAGATGAAAAGAGTGTTACCAACATTAGACGAAATAAAGGAAGAGTATAAGTTAGGGTGTAAACCGGGATCGGATATGTTGCAATGCAAGGCTTATAAGTGGTTATAAATCAAGCAACCACGTAGTACATGCAATCTTGTATTTATATGTCATATTCAAATCTTTAGAAATAAATAAATTGTCATAGCTTTAGACATAAATAAATTGTCAGGTAGAATTCATTTTCAAATGTTAAATGAATTTCAGTGTTTGTTATGTCATATGTATAAGTAATTTAATTAATAAAAGAGGATAATTATGTCTAACTATCATAATTAGTAAATACTTGTGGAATTCATTTGGAAATTTCATCTCAATTTCTTGAAATTGTTATAACTAGCTCCAATTCTATAGAATTCAAAATTTAGAATTGGAAATGAATCTACACATAATATAATACATCGAAGGGAAAACGGGAGCCCCATTTCAAATTTCCTGCAACGAGAGTGAAAGTAGGAAGGACATTTTGGTCTTCACAATTACTTTTTTATATTCATTAAAAAGACACATACTGGGATTCGAACCATGGCCATTTTAAAGAAAAACAAGAATCATAACCAATCACACTAAGTACATTTGTTGTATATTTTTAAATTAAAAACATATAATAGCAGGGAGGAAAAAACCCTTCCCCCATTTCAAATTCCCTGCTCCATGGCGTTTGTAGGAAGGGTAGAATAGGGAGTGTCAATTTTTTTCTCTTTCCTCTGTGGAACGGGTCAACTTACCGTACACATGCGGATTTAAACGGGTCCAGGAGTGTCAATTTTTTTCTTTAAGCCCTTTTATTTCTCCCTGGTGATAAAATATATATGAAAAGGCAAAAACAATACTCATTTTTATTGCTAAAAATAAAAAATTTAACAATAAACTAATGCATGGTATCTAATGGGCTAACCGCTAACCATAAAATAAAAGAATTGAATGGGTCTGACCTACACAGGATTTGACCATCAAGTAAAACAAATGAACATCATTGGTTGATCATTCTAAAACAAGCTATTTTCTCTGGCATAATATATATTATGCTATTATTTTATATCTTAGTTGCTAAAATATAATGTATTTTAAAGTTATTCAATGGTTCAACCTCGACCAACCCAATTAGTCCAATTTTTATCATTTCAAATAGGAATGGCAATGGGGCAGGTCCGGGGCGGGTATCTCGATACCCATACCCGCCCCATGGCCGGACGGGTCTAGGTCGGGTAATTTATCATGGGGCGCGGGTAGGGGCAGGTCGACCCGTTGGGTATGTAATAATGCGAAAAACATTACAAACATTCGTTATTTTCATTAAAAAACCAAGAAAGAAACCATAATATGATAAAATGTAGTTAAATTATTGAAGAAATTGAGGTTTTCACTTATTTACAACTTTATTATAGCTAAAATATAATGTAATAAGAGGAAAATCCTAATTAATTTGACTAAGATTATATGCAATATAGGCAAGAACTGGTCGAGAATGGGGCGGGTCAGGGCAGGTCGGGTCGATGAGAGGTACCCATTCCCGCCTCGCCCCACCTACAGGGCGGGTTTGACCTGCTCCAAAACAGGTCAAACAGGTCGGGTAAATCGGGTAAGGTCGAAATTGTCATCCCTATTTCAAATATATATTATATAATTATTTGATATCATAATGATCAAATTATAGTGTATTTTATAGGGAATCGTTTGGTATTTGTTAGTAAAAAAACTAAACAGAACGATCTATTTGGTTATTTTAAACATTAAAACGATCCTAAACATTTTCAGTTCCTTTTGAATTTTTATGGTTTTATTCTCGAATAAGTGATGTGCAAATGGCGAATTGCAGTCATCTCTTTTCTTTCACTATTTTTTATTTTCAAATAGAATTTTAAAAGTAAAGAATAATTATAATTTGGCATGGGTAGGTCAAACATGCTGAATTTCAAGTTTTGGCCCGTTTTGATCAAGTCTAATTCATAATCACATGGTTCCCTAATACCCGATAAAAATCTCAATCCAAACCAGTTTGGCAGGTGAGTCTGTGTTTACAACCATTTTCTAGGATACGGCAACAGCGGTTCCTATCCCAAATTGTGTTATTCGTTCTTGATTTCCTTAGATTTTATCATGGCCTAACAAAAACCAGAAAGCACAATGACGACAAGATGAAAGTTTTATAAAGCAAATTAATCGACCAACGGGCCGAGTAAAAGCTAGCAACGATTGTGAGATTCTCATTTCCCGAAAACCGACGGGATAGGCGATTTTTTATTCGATTTTCTAGAATTCGGTTTCTATAAAACTTACTCCACCTCATCATATTACCAGAAACAATATTGTTTCACAAGGTAACATGTACTTGATTTTGGTTCATAAGGCCGATTTTTGATTCATTGCATCATTCATGTCTCTTTCCTCCTAAAATTCACTATTTTTATCTTTCCAAAAAAAAACTATACAACAATAAGCTATACACCCCATTATATTATCAAATTTCATACCTCACCTTCCTCCGACCAACTGGCCGGGGCCCACACTAGTTCTTTTAAATACCAAACACAAAAATGTTTCACTTCAAAATGAATTCTTCAAAACTTATTAAATTCATTTATACTAAACGGTATGTTAGTCAATTCTAATGGCAGGACCAACAAATCAGAATGTCAGTACACAATCTCTTCCTAAACTTTCGATAATCAATTCTCGATGGATAATAGATACTAGATAATTGGCCCGCGCTTTGCAGCGGGTAGTGAGGAATATCCAATGGAGTTATATTTGATTGAGTTTGAATAAATCAATAATTTGATTATTGTTTGATTTTGATTGCCACATAATTTTTTGAATTTTTGAATTTTTTTTTTTTTTTGAAAAATATAATTTGGTTTTATGATTGTGAAGGACTTTAAGGGCCTGTTTACTTTCATTTCTGTTTCCTGTTTTTGAGAAAACAGATGTTGAAAACAGGTGAAAACAACATTTTGTCATTTCCGAAAACAGCAGGAAGTTGCCACTTTCTGTTTTCATAGTTGGAAACGAATAGAAAACAGAATGAAAAGTAAACAAGTTTTCTCATTTCGGTTGCCAAATTTATCACATAAAAACAGAAAACAGGAAACGAAAATGGAAGTGAACAGGGCCTAAGTATTTTTTTAAAGAATATATATCCATGTACTCGTTTTATACATAGTTGTTAATTAAAAATTTATAATAAGTTAGATGAATGGCTTATATGTACCAAAGCAAATGACATTTGTTGCCTGTTCAGTGGCGATTTTATTAATATTGATCCGTCATTTGATTGACATGGAACGTTTTATTCAAAATATATTATATTATATATAGTATATAATAAAAATGAAATTAGTTTTTATATCTTAAAATTGAAATCACATAACGAGAGCTTATTATCACATATGGTGGAATTTGAAGGGTTTAAATATTGTTTTAATTTGTATTCTTTTATAGTTGCATGTTCTAATTTGATCTCAATTTGTGAGTTTAATTGGAGGATTGAATGGATCGGACTTGCGTAGTTTATGACATGTTACAAATAAAAACTTATTTCAAAATTATCTAAGACGAATGTTCGCTATTTCAATAAACATATGTAATCAGGTTTCCACCAGTCTACTTCTATATGTGAAATATTCAGTGGGCCTGAGGTCATTTGAGGAGAAATCGAAGAACTGGTGGCCACCAGGTAGATTGCGGGAGGGGAAAACATGTTTTATATGACTCGTTACTCTTTTTCATGTATTGCTTCAGTAATCTATAAAACTGTACCTAGCTTGTTCCCCTGAACTGAGCAATATGTTCTTGCGAGCCCACCCGAGTTCAGCCATCTGATCATCTGATAGATTCAAACTCCTCTCTGCTGCTACCTTAGTGTCCTCCAATAGCTTACACCACTCCCTTACAACCAAGTCTGAAGGGGAGCTCTCTATAGCAGCAATCACCAACCTACTGCTCAAGAGCAGTGCTCTACGTACCTGAATTATGGTATGATGGTAATCACAAAGCATGATTAATAGAGGAACCTAGTTAGTAAACGAGTGCAAATTAAGGATGTTTTTTTTTTTTTTGTTGTTGTTGTTGTTTTGGGCTAAGAACAAAGGTTGCATAAAAAATTATGCAATGCCACATCTCTGTGTTTACCTGCAACAGACCTTTCGTCACATCAGCAGTGCCAGCTCCTTCACGTAGACAAAGGAAAAGACCAGGCTAAAAATTCGTCGTCACACAAAAGAGGAAAAGTGAGGCAAAAAGATATCATAGACCAACAATCACACATCCGCCGCAGCCGCAACGACTCCAATCTGCCAATCTCGGCCAAGGCATTGATCAAGCTAAGTGCAATCTGTAAGCAGGGAAAGAGGACGGACGACTCATTTCCAGATATGTGCATAATTGAAAAATGTAGTTTTTTTTTCCCCTTTTTTTTATAACAAAGGATCTGCTCTCCTTTATCTCTCTGGACTATGGAGAAAGGAGCAGATTGAGAGCTTCTCAGCTTCATATAAGAGAATAAAAAAAAATAGAAAACAGAGAAACAAGAGTTAAAAATAAACTCGTACCATTCTCCTCATCATTTTGGACCTTAGTCTCCAGCGGACTCACCACCCATAGCTGACTTTACCAAATTAGAACAGGAGGGAGAGAGGTCCTTCCTTCCGCCATCACCAGCTGCTGAGAGACCCGGAAAGCAGTCCCTTGCCATATCTCGCAGCCGACTTCGCCAAGTATTTCACTCTCATTCTTTTCCCCATATCCACGAACTGTAACCCATCCAGCTCCTCGAGTCCTTTCACCTTGGTCAATTTTGTGCATCCCTCAATGTCAAGCTGCCACAATTTCCTGAGACCAGAAAGGTTCAAATCCTTTATTAACCTGCAATCACACATCCGTAGAATTGTTAACGACTCCAAACCCTCCACCCCCTGGACCTCGGTCAAGGCTGTGCATTTGCTGAGATCCAACCGCTCCAAATTCTTCAGGCTCGATAAGTTTGGCAGCTTCGTAATCGAATGGCAACAATTTATCACTATCTCCTGCAAAGACTCCAATCTCTCGATGCCCGTGAGATCAATCAGGCTGTCGCAGAATCTGATGGTTACTGCTTTGAGATTCCTGAGCCCAGACAGATCCGGCAGATTTCGAATCGAGTTGCATTCATTCATAGTAAACTGTTCTAGAGACACCAATCTCTCAAATCCTGTAAGCTCTGTTAACTCCAGACAGCGGCGCAGTTTCAACTGCTTGAGATTAAAGAGACCAGAGAGATCCGGAAATGATTCCTCGCCATGGAGAAGAGTAAGATACTCCAATGCTCCCAGAAGTTGAAGTCCATCATAGTTTGCCAAGCTAGGACATCCTCCGATTAACAGACGGGATAAAGACTCCGCAAGGCCACCCAGACCTTGGATTTCTACAAGAACCGGGCAGCCGTAAACCACCAACAGCTCCAGCTTGATCAAATTCATTACACTCGGCAGTCTCTCCAGCGCGGAGCACGTTCCCACGTACAGGATCTTGAGGAAAATCAGATTCTCAAGTCCGTTGAGGTTGATCAGATTCGGGGAATTGGATATCACCAGTGCCTCCAGCACCCTCAGCTCTCCCAGGCCCAGGATTTCGACCACCCCGATATGCATGAGTGTGAGTTGGGTAAGATTGCGCAGATTTGCTAGGCTGGGGAGCTCATTCAAAAGGCCTCCAGCCATCGGAGTAAATGCCTCGATATAATCGCACAGTAACCACAAGTCTTCAGGGATACAAGGAATATTACCTCTGACGTAGCTCAGGGACTCCAACTCCGTGAGCTCTGACAGATTTGGAACTCTAGATGGAGGTGAAATGGTTAACCTCTTTATACTCCTCGGGAGCCTGGGTATCTCCTCCATCAGGAACTCCCAAGATTTTCCTGATTCCAACAACAGGGTTTTGAGAGAGGGTAAGTTTTCCATCCCGGCGGGCAATTCTTTCAAACAAGTGGAGTTCAAGTCCAGCTCCTCTAGTCGTCGAAACTTTCCAAAATCATTATCCCTAATGATTAACCCAGTTATACCGGTCCAGCAAAGACTCAGCCTTTTCAAATTCTTGAAATTACCAATGTGCAGTTCTCCTTCCATAAAGAGACAAGACTCAAAATTTATCAACTCCAAACTTGTGCATGTGGACAAGTCGGGTGCTTTTCTCAACCGATAACACTTGGGTAAATTTACAGCTTTCAGCTTTGCTGCTGCCTACGGATCATAATACAACCATTACAATGAGAAATGATACATAAAGTCATTTTGTATGCGCCCGTAATTGATCCATACACAACAATGTATGGAAAAAACGAAAGAGGAAATAGAATTTTTACCTTTATTCGGTTCCAGCCCTTCCAATTATCTGTCACATTGCAATCCTTCAAATCAAGAACTACCAATTTCTTCGCGTAAATATCGGTTGGGATTGATGCACAGCATGGCAACCGAAGGCAACATAAATTTGGAAGAACCTGGCTGAAATCCCCCATTATGCTTCCATATTGCACCTCCAGGTACCGTAGACCTGATAAGTTCTTAAAATCCGTGCTTTTAAGTCCTTTCTCAAGATCTCCAGATTTGACATCCACTCTAAGAACTTCTACCCGTTCAGTTCCCTGAAAACAGTAAATGAAAAAAAACTAGTCATTACACATATATATATATAGTTATTGTCCAACACTTTCTCATTAATATGCGGACCAAAGATCATCAAACCATTGACAAAGATCTTTACCCTGGCATTTCTAAACATATCGAGGGCGTCGTCTGCTGACCATATCCTACTACGGTTGTATGGATGTTGAATATCTTCTTCTCTAACAATGGCTCTTCCAAGATCTTTGATGTGATCGTGCATCCAAAAGTGGTTTCCTTCATCAAGTTTCATTAACGATCTGTGGATAAGAGTGGTGATCCCACTTTCTGGATAGAAATCACAACCACTCCACATGTAGTAGATTAAATCTTTGTGGGTACCAATAAAAAAACAAGCTATGTCAAGAAAGATTTGTTTCTCATTGTGAGACAACTCATTGTAACTTATCTTCAATCTCTCTTGCACCTTATTTTCGGTAGTAGAAGGTATTCCTTGTAACTCTATCAACTTTTCTTCCCAAAATTTCCTCTCTCTACGAAACAAGAGTGATCCTATCACTTTGAGAGCTAAAGGAAGTCCAGCAGCAACTTTCACGAATTCCTCAGATATAACGACATCTTCCATTGGAGGACTATCCATCGCAAAAGCATGTTTGCTAAAAAGTTGCAACGACAGAGGATGACTCATTTCTCCTATTTCATACAATTTACATCCTGGGAAGAAATCTAAAACCCTTTTATACCTTGTTGTAAACATAAATCTGCTATCAAAAGAAAAATCACCTAAATTTCCTATAATCTTATCAAATTCAAACCTATCATCTATATCATCAATAACAATAAGCACCTTGTGGTTGCAAACCCTTTCCTTTATCGTGTTGATTCCTTCACTTACATTGCTAACTTGATGATTATCCTTCTTCATAATGCTAGAGATAAGCTTACTTTGCAAAGAAAGAGCTCCGTCACTCTTTGTCAATGTTTCCCGTACATCTTCCAAGAAACAAGAACGATCAAATTGAGTGAAAATTTTGTTATAGACCGCTTTAGACAGACTGGTTTTACCTATACCACCCATGCCATGAATACCAACGACTTTCCCTATAGAAGAGGGTGTATTCAATAATGCCATCACTTCTTCCACGTGACTATCGATTCCAACCAACTCATCAGTCACTAAGGCGTAAATGCCCCTCAGATGCAACTCAACTTCAGAAACGATTTGTTCTATTATAGCTCCCTGACTGCAGCATCAATTGAAAGATTGTCAATGTACACTATTAAGCAAGCAAAGATACTGAAAAGTAATGAAATATTACCATAGCTACATGTATAGAATAGAACACTCGCATACTGCAAGTTTTCATTTCAGGAACCTAAACCCACTTGATGAACCACACAGATTTTCTGGTTGTGAAGTAGCTTCTTTTGAGTATATCAGAGATGCAAACTAAAAGATTGAGCAATACTAGATGATATCCAAAAACAAAAAAGCCCTAACATCATCAAAATGCCAAGCGTGTGTGTCCAATGTTTACCTGTCGGATTCAGTGACATGCCATCCTTTCATTTGGCCAACCTCTCGAAGTGCTTCCTTCCATTCGTTCACAGTTTCGGGGCTATGTTTCCGGGCATGCTGTTCAAAGGCTTCCTGATAAGAGCCATGTTGATGCCTCGCATCTCTAGGGTCGACAAAATAGAAAATGGGGAGGATGAGGTGCCCCTTCTTTTGCTTCCAGCACCCCACCATTTGAGCCAATTCTTGAAGGCACCATTTGCTGGAAGCGTACTGTTTGGTCAAGATTGGGACGTAGATCTTGGAATTGGGGATGGCCTGGACTAGGGAAGGTGCAATCCCTTCCCCCTTGCGTAGCTCTTCCTCGTCCCTGAATGTGCGGATTCTGGAACGGTGTAGAGAGGTGTAGAGATGATCGGCAAACGTGTTGCGAACATCGGGGCCCCTGAAGCTCAGGAAAACCTCGTACTCCCCGGGTGGAAGAGCAGACGACAGCACAGAAGAAGAAGCAGCGAGAACGGATTCCATTTTCTCAAAATCAAAGATGTGAAATAGTGTGCCGCAAACCGTTGATTGTAAGCTGTCGCAACAACGAACGGAATCTTTTCACAGGCGGGTAAAAGTACACACACCTGCAGTTGAAGGAGACGGGAATTCTTGAAGAAACTGATGGCGAATTTGGATCTGGATCTCGGTTCGCTAGCTCTTCTTTTCTTTTTGAAGAGCCTGGCTGCTTGCTTGGAGTCTGGGATGAGTCAAAATTGAACGGAAGAAAGGAAAGGGGCGAGGAAGTTGCAGACAACTTTGACTAGAGGCGCAAAGCTGAGACCGGGCAGGAGTCCACGCCCCACGGTATTGCTGGTAGGGATGGCAATTTTGCCTATACCCATGGGTATTCTACTATCCAACCCAATTGGGTTAGGTATGCAATCCAAATATATGGATATGGGTAAAGTTTGATGGGTTTGTACCCATACCCATTTACTTTGGGTTGGGTTGGGTTGGGTTTATAACAAATGGATTTGGGTTTGTACCCATGCCCAAATACAAACTACATTTTGGTACCTAAAATTAATATATATGCATATTTAGTACCTAAATTTAATTTGTTTTGCATATAAGTCCTCAAAATATCGATGGAAATTTACGTTTTGGTACCTAAATTTTTTTGGTCTTACAATTTGGTACCTAAACTTTTCAAGTTTTACAAATAGGTCCAATTTTTGCATGTGTAGTTAAAACTATAGGTGTCAATCGGGCGGGTTCGGGCGGGTTCGGGCTGGGTTCAATCGGGTTGCGGGTTAGTCGGGTTGCGGGTTCAGCGGGTTGTGGGTTCGCCGGGTTGGGTTCAATCGGGTTCGGGTTCAATCGGGTTCGGGTTCAATCGGGTTGCGGGTTGATCGGGTTCGGGTTCAATCGGGTTGCGGGCAGACCGGGTTCGGGTTCATCGGGTTTCGGACCGGGCGGGTTGCGAGCGGATTGGGTTGCGGGTTTTTCGGGTCAACGCATCTAGTTACTTATTTAAAATATTTTTCACAATTTTTAACCAATTTCTTTCTACCTCTAATATATACTTAATTAAAAAAAAAACTAGTCAAAATGTTGAATCAATTTGTATGACTTGCAAACTTGTCATGTAATTAATCGTAACTGATAAAGTTCACTAGCCAATAGTAATGGTGATATCAACATTTGTAATAAATACATTATTGACAAACCATACATTCAGTAAACAAAACACTACTCTAAAAACAAAGAAGAAAAACATTTTTCCTATCTCAACAATTTTGTGCAACAATATAGATCAACCCAAACAAAATTTGGGCGCCAACATAGATCAATCTAAACGAAAATTTGAGGGGCCTTTTGGAGCGAGAATGAAGAAATTGTGCGGCAATATATATCAAGAAAAGATAAAATTGGGCAGCATTTTGCAACGAGAAGGGAAATGGGTAACAAAAAATACACATTTTGCTGTTAACCACAATAACAAATCTTTAAATACCCTCAACACAAACTGCACCACTATGGTTAGTGGTAACCACTAACCGATGCGGTTCGGTGTGATTAGTTTGTGGTTAATCGCAAAAACCAATTTACCAAACTCATAAATTGATATATATTTTTCTTATAAGTTTGTTACCAATAAAAAATAAGAGAGATATGAAGGATAATATAAATGGTAAAAAATGAGAATCATATATCACATAAGGAAGATATATCAAATAAAATATATACAAAAAGTAAAGCAATAAAATATGTGAAGAATGCTTCCCACCACAACTACAATTGGGCCGCCCGTAATTTCATCATCACCCGCCCACTACAATTACACCCATGGTTGTCAAACCGGTTTCATGCCGGCCGGTTCAACCGGGTTCAACCGGTACCGGTCAGCAAACCGGCTGGAAAGGGGCCGGTATTTAACTGTGGTCAAATCCGGTCAATACCGGTCAGATTCGGTCAAATCCGGAAATTCCGGCCGGTTAGACCAGAAACCGAAATTTAATGTTACACACATTATATCCAAAAATAAACATCTTCCATAGGATTTGAACCAAGGACCTCTTGTTCATTTTAGTTTAACTTATACACCAGTAGGCTACAAGCAATTTTGTTGTCTATATTAACCTTATATGTTATATATCTAATACTAAATTTTACACAAATCATTATAAACATTAATAAAATTTATTTAATAAATTTTATTTTTAAGTATCTAATTGTTTAGTATTAGTTACCAATTCTTAGCTATAAATTATTTTGTGTGAAATCATTCTTCTAATTGCTTTTTTATGACTAATTTATTTGGAATTGAGGATTTCCATTTTCCTCATGTATTTTATTAAAACCGGCACAACCGGCATGAATACTGGTTGTACCACGGTCAGACCATTCCACTTACAAAACCGGCACACCGGCATAAACCGGTTTGACAACCTTGATTACACCACAAAAAAAAACCCTTCCCTCTGCTTGCAGAAAATTGGGCGGCCAAAATTTCATAATCACCCACCCAAAATTACTTCTTACCCTGTCAACTTTAGGGCTCCAAACGGAGCCGAGCTAAGCCAAACTTTTGCCCAGCTAGGACTCAAGCTCGATTGAAATGAGTTCAGCAAGCCTAAGCCGAACTAATTTTAAACTTGGCTTCATACGGGCTTTGACAGCCCAAAAAATATTTCATTGGCTAAATAAGTAGCCCATTTGGATCCGAAGAGGAAGCAAACTGGCAGCCCATTCGCAAGGCCACTTGTTCTAGTTACAAATCCCACTTGTATTTTATAACTGGAGGGAAACATGGTATCTATATTGGCCACCGATGTGGTACAAAAGATACAGAAAAGGCAAAAAAACAAACTAGTTCCTCGACCGGGTTTGAGGGGAAGGATGTCTTGAAGCTGATTGCTGCTGGCATGGAGAAGCTGGTAACGATGCCAAGTGGCGGAGGCACTAGTGTTGTGGCAGTTGCTGCTCCTGCTGGTGTAGCCTGCCCTAGCAATCGATGTTGCAGCTCCGACAAAGGAGTAGAATGAGGAGTCCGATGGGGTGAGTTTCCTTTTATAGTCCTATTATGCTTTAGCATTATCAAGACATCTAACTTGAATTGGCGTCCAGCTTCTGCTATTGGTTTTGTGCATTTGATGTAGACAGGGAACTGGAGCTGCTTGAGCCCTGTTATAAGCTATCAGCTTTTCGTGGCATAATAGGCTTTGTAGAAAGTGTATGGACTTTGGGAAACATTTATGAGATTATGATGCCCGAAGGTGACAGTAATAAGAATTTCATGCTAGTTGACACCAAAACTAGAGAATTTGGAGTCTAGCAATGAGAAATAGTCATGTTATTAGAACCGAACCGGATCAACGGCTGGTCCAGTAGAACCATCAAACCAATTACGATAGCGGTCCTATTCATCAACGATTTATCAATGGTTTTGTAACGGTTAACCACTAAACTCTAAATCACTAACTTTAGTAAAATTGTTATGACTTCAATCATAACTTACTCAATAACATATATCCTATACACTTAGCCTTACCCTCAATCGACAATATTAAGTTAGTATATGTTGTTGATTGTATACCCTAAACTATCAATACATTATACACTAACCACATACCCTATACCCTAACCATATGTCCTTAAGATTTGTGATTTTGCTAGTTTAGTTAATTTAAAACTGAAATTCATACTTTGATTTTCAAAACATAGATTAAAAGTGATATGTGCTAATTGTTATACCCTAGCCATATATCATATACTCTACACCATATACCTAGTACCCTAACCACGTACCACAAACATAAATTAAAAAGGGATCTCTTGTCGTTAAAGACTTCAAGTGACTTCAAGTTAACATATGTTAATAATATTTATCTTTTCTTTCTCTTCCCAAAAAGTTGAATACACCAAAATTTCCCTCTTATTTTAAAAACATCAAATTACCAAATACATTACTTTACTTTATTTATATTTAATTGATAATTTTATTGAATAGTTAAATTAACCAAAATTTTAATTTATATATTATATTAATATTATCAATGATCTCAATTATTAATTCTTCATTATTAATATTGACATTATGTTGATTTTATATTTTATATTTACTTTTTTAATTTTGTTAAAGAACTTAGTGTTCAAGTGACCTTCATGTTTCAAGTGAGTTTCATATTTTTTAAATTCCCTATACGAAATGAAAAAATAATTTTACCTAAGTTTAGAATGAAAAACTTTATTTTGAAAAGCTATGTGTTGTATATTATAATAATTATTCAAGTGGACTAGGTGAAGTTTGGGTTGAGTCGGTCGGGTTACGGGTTAGTCGGGTTCGGGCCAATCGGGTTCGGGTTAATTGGGTTGCGGGTCAATCGGGTTCGGGTTAGTCGGGTTGCGGGTCAGTCGGGTTGCGGGTCAATCAGGTTGCGGGTCGGGCGGGTTACGGGTTGTTGACTTTTAGTCAATTCGGATTGCGGTCGGGTTGCGGGTCGGGTTGATCGGGCGGGTTAATCGGATCGGGCTATGTTTTGACACCTATAGTTAAAACACCCTCAAGTAAATGGATATCCATATCCAACCCATACCCATTTAGATAATATCCATATCTAACCCAAACCCATATACAAACCCCAAATCCATACACACATCACCCAAACCCTACCCATAATAAATGGGTCTACTTGGGTTTGGGCAAAATTACCCATGGGTGGGTAAATTTAGGGCTGGGCAACGGGTAACGGGTATTTGGGTATACCCGTACCCGTCCCATTTTTTAAGGGTTACGGGTACCCATATTACCCGTAATATTATAAACGGATGGGACTTGGGATTGAACATTCCTAATATGGGTACCCGCGGGTTACCCGCAAATACCCGTTTGGGTAATATGGGTACCCGTTATACCCATTCAATACAAATGCAGAAATTTAATTCAGCCCAACACAATTCAAAACCCATTGGCCATTTCGGCCCTTACCCTTTCAATTTCAATTCCATTTGGGCCCTTACCCTTTCACTCTTTTTTTTTTTTTTTGACAAAGAAGGTGCTTATATTTCACTCCAACAGAAACTCGGTTACAATGAAAGGGATACACCCTGAAGATCAACAACAAGAAAGAGATCCAACAATACAAAGAAAATGGAGAGAAAAGGCCCAGAAGCAAACAGAAGGGCGACCCAACAACAACATGAACAGAAAGACAGGGGAACCCTTTACATGAGCAGAAAACAGAGGATCCAGCAACCATTGTAATCGCATCAAACAGAGTGAGACACAGCAGAATATCAGCTCGCCCAAACCCAGCCTTGACCATGGAAATTGAGCAAAGCAACACCATATGCCGCCTTCTGGGGGTAGTTCAAAGACACCCATCACAGTGAATCGCCGACGAGGGATTGCGCGGCGGTGGACAGGATTGAGATCGGGTTGCTCAGAGCTGAAAAACGGCAACCGGGACTGGAACGGAGGGAACCATGAAACAGCAGTGAAGAGATGCATCAAAGGGTTGAACCGACCTGAAGAAAAGAGCCACAAGCAAAGGAAAGGAGAAAAGAGCAGAACCAACCTGAGGAAACGATCTGAAGAGACATACACCAGCAGAGAAAACCCAAACAAAACAAAAACCCAAAACCCAAAGCAGCAGACCCAACACCAACCCCAACACCCAAACAGATCAACCCAAGCTGAATCTCAGCACTACGACAACAATGGTGCAACCGCCTCAGCAACAAGAGGAGACTCCTCTTCCACAACAGCCAATCGACGCACCGAGGAACGACGACGGGAGGGGAATCGGTGAATGCAATCATCCTATACAATGACCGCACCAAACTTGGGTAGAAACCCAGTTTGCATCCTCCGAACCCAGAACAGAGCAGAGCCAAACCAGATCTTGAAGATCTGGAGCAGAATCCGGACAAAACCTCCTCAATTAAGAGGGATGTGGACAAACCCACTTAGGGGAAGGGAAAACGCCATTACGGCTGGAAAAAGCCAAGGAAGGCCAGGAAAAACAGCTGAAAACGAAAAAGGAGGCAGAGGAAGAGCAGGACAGCAGCAGGAAAGAAAAGAAAATTTGGGCTACCGCCGGTCACCCAGACGTGCCGGCGGCAGCCCTAACGGGAGGAAGGTGAAGAAGTAGAGAGAGGGCAGAGAGAATTTGAAAAGTTGAAACAAGAGAGAGACCCTTTCACTCTTTCACTGACATGTTTGGTGAATTAGTAGAGAGAGTTGGGATGTGTTGAATGAAACTTTTTTTTTATAATTTGGTAATTGGAATGATTTATTTCTATGTGTTGTGATTGTTCATGAATGTGTAATTTGCAAACCAATTTGTGATTGGGATGTATTTTGTGTCTTGTGATTGTTAAGCAAATACAAGTTAAGTTTAAACTTTTGTTAAAATTTTAGTGGTTTAAACTTTGGGTATTTATGGGTAGTATGGGTACCCGTTATCCGTCCCGCACGGGTAATGGGTACCCGTTTCCCAAATGTTCGGAAACAAAAATCCTCCAACCAAACAAATAAGGTAGATGCGAGCATACCTCTCTATCTGAGCATCCGTGGCATCCTCCGGTAATTCCCCAACGGTCCTCACTAGCCAAGGTATCAATAACATAGACTTGTGTAGAGGTGGTACACGACGACCTTCTTCTGCTTCCTCGGGGATGTTGATACCTAAACGCTCGCTTATAAATTGACCCCAACCATTCAATGGTTTCTGTGAACTTTCAATTATTGCATCACCATCGATTGGAAGCTCTGTCAGCATGGCTACGTCCTTCAACGTAATCGTCATCTCTCCCTCTAGAAGGTGGAATGTGTGCGTTTCTTTTCTCCATCTTTCCACCATTGCCGTAAGAAGGTTGTTGTCCATCTCCATCCCCACAAACTTTCGCACCCTCAGCAATCGCGCTCTTTCAATGAAGGGCTCGATACGATCATCCCATTTAGGCAAGCGAGATAGCGACCGATGGGTGATTACGTCAAGTTGTTCATGTAGAAAAAAAAATATTAATTATTATACAAAAAAAAATTAGAAGAATACTATCACATTTAAAAAAAGAAAAGTAAATGAGGAAGTGCTTACCGGATCTGCCGCCCAAACACTTTCAGACCGATGGTAAGGTTGCTCATCCAACAAATCGGTTTCTCGCGGTCCGCCTTGAATGTATAATCTAGGATCGTAAATACTCGGATCCATCCCGACAATTTTGAGTGATAGAAGTACCAAACTAAAGAAAAAAAATCTGATGCGGAAGATCGGGCTTAGCCGCAACCACATAGCATATTTTTTTCTTCAAGAGTGGTGGGAGGAATAGGAAGAAGAATGGAGTGGTGTGGGATTTGGTGGAATGGGAGGGTGAATATATAGATGCAGGTGGTTGATGTGGATCGAGTTTACCAGACTCGAACCAGTGCCTCGATTTTCCTGCCATCGATCCGCGTCAATTGCAGATCTAGTGAATACACATCGAACGACCCAGATCGAGTCTGGCAAACTCGATCTACGGTGGAGCGGTCCTGATGTCATCGATCCGCGTCAATTGGATCGATTCGATTGAGCTCGATCCACGTGCATCGCTTTTTCCCCACTCGATCCGCGTCGCCACTAAATCGCGGGCTTGGCCATCGAACGGTGTGGTTCGATTCTTCTTACCTCGATCTAGGGTGGAGCGCTGCTTATGTCAGCGATCCATGTCAACCAGTTCGAGTGACGCGTACTCGATCCAGTTAAATCGAGTTTATCACACTCGATCCGCGTCGTCCTGTTCCAGCCAATCGCGGCTGTTTCACTCGATGCACATGGATCGATTCTTTAACATTCGATCTATCAACTAGTTCGAGTTTTCCAAACTCGATCCGGTTCAAACTTTGGTATTTTGGGAAATATTTATAAAAGTGATGTATTGTGGGAATTACTTTTAATTTTCACTGTATTTAGGGAAATAATCCTGAGTAGCCCCGTCAAACCCGCTGTTGGGTCATACATTGATCTACACGGCCCATAAGCCCAAAAGGCATTCAAAGCCCACACAAGAGCAAGCAAGGCCCAAAAGCGAGGGCGGTCCGACGATGCTAACCGCCTAAGGACCGCCCGACACATAATGGCCCGGCACTGATAAACCGCCCGACATTCTGGATCCTACGAACGGACTCTGACAAGGCACACGGAGGAACCCAGAGGCGGTCTCGAGGCCCCGACGCAAAGAGACCGCCCGACATTCTGGATCCTACGTACGGACTCTGACAAGGGGCACGGAGGAATCCAGAGGCGTCCTGGAGCGCCTGACACAACATTAAATGCGCGAAGCCCAGTCGAGACTGGTATAAATACCCCCCGTAGGATCACATTGATGGTAACTTCTACCAACTCCATTCTCTCTCTTATTTACTTATTCTTCACTTCTCTCTCTAACTTAGGCATCGGAGGAGGTCCCAGGATCCCCCTGAGGACCTTTCTGCAGGGTTTCGAAGACCGCCCTCGACCATCGAAGCCGCCCCAGGGCCAGTAGAGTCTCACAAACCGCTTGGTACATTCCAGGCACAAACATTTTGGCGCCCACCGTGGGGCCCTGCTACTTGTGGCGAACGAGATGGGAGACGATTTCGAAACCCCCCTCAAGGGGATGACCGAAAACAACACCCTCCGAGGCTTATCACCGAGGGTTGAAGATGAGCCCGAGTTGGAGGAGGTGGTCAAGAACCAAGGGATGCAAATTGCAAGCATGCAAGACAGCCTTTCCCAGATTCTCCAACTCCTGAAGACCCGAGACGACCCCGCCGAGGGCTCGAGGGGAAAGACACGCGACGAAAAACTGAAGGGCGCTCTTATCCTCGACAGCCCTGCTCGGACAGAAGGCGGAGGACTAGAGGCCGACGACCCGGACCTCAACTTTCTAGAGGAACACTTGCGGTCAACCTTCGGGAAGCACAAAAGCCCGAACGTTCTGCAAAACCCTCTATCAAGGGAGCTCTTCAAGACCCCGGTCCCCCCAAACTTCTCCTCTCTGGGACTGCCAACCTATAGTGGGACGTCCGATCCCGCCGACCACCTTTGCGCGTTCATGTTGAAAATGCAGCTCATCAACGCGACAGACTCGGATCTGTGTCGTGCGTTCCCGGTTACCTTCAGCGGTCAATGCCGAACTTGGTACACCTCTCTTCCGGAAGGGATCATAGAAAACTTTGAGCAGTTTGCGATGCTCTTCTCCACCAAGTTCGCGTCTCAACGGCGTCGCAAACTCACCGTCTCGGCACTCATAGGTTGCCGACAAAGGAAAGAAGAGTCGCTTGCTGAGTTCTACGACCGATGGAACGCGATAGCTTGCGAAATAGACGGTATCTCCCCGGTCGTGGCCGCCGGAAACCTCCGAATCTCGACAACTAGTCTCGAGCTGAAAAGAACGTTGATAAAAAAGGAGGCAACCTTGGCGGCCTGGTCTGACTTAGACCAACTGGTACGACGAGCGATCTTGTTGGAGGAAGCGCTAGCCAATGACGACCGAGGCCAGCAAAGCCGTCCCAGAGGAGACGCCTCAGAGCGTGGAGAATCCCGGAGGGGAAGGCGGTCCCCGGACCGCAGGTCGTACCGGAACCGATACCCCGATCGAGAAGGGAGAAGAGATGTCCTCTCCACCGACAGAGAAAAAGGAAGGGACCGAAGGAAAGGTGGACGGAAGCACGAGACGTCTTCCGCCCAGGAGCCGCAAGAAGGAAAAAAGTGGTGCGACTGGCACCAAATCACGACCCACGACACCACGGAGTGTAGAGAGTTCAAGGCCACGCTCCGACATCTGGCCCCAGGGGACCTTAGAAGCAAGCTAGAAATGAGGCGGTCCCACAGAGAACACTCAGCAGAAGAGCGGGAGGAGTCCCCAAGTCCCGAGCAGGACAAGCCGAGACGCACAAGGAAGGAAAGGTCAAGGTCCCGCTCTCGAAACAAAGTCGCCTCCCCGAGGCAGTCTCCTCCCTATAGAGCTCCTCGAAACGAAGACGATGGGATGGAAGTCATAACAATTGCAGGAGGTCGGAAGCGCCCAAGAACTGAAGGAGACCGCATCGCTCAATGTCTGAACGTGCAGCGAAGAGCGCCGACCGAGGTCGCCTTCCTACCGTCTGAGTTGGCTAACGAAGAAAACTCGGAAGACCCCTTGGTCATTTCCTTTCGAACCGCCAAGTTCAAAGTCACTAGAGCCCTAGTCGATAATGGGAGCTCGGCAGATATACTATTTTACTCAGCGCTCAAAGGGATGAAAAAGAGCGTCCAGGATCTCAACCCTTCCACCACCAGTTTGGTAGGGTTCTCCGGCACCAAAGTCCGTGTCCTCGGTTCGATCACACTCAAAGTCACCATAGGAGAGGGAGGAATCACGAAGACCAGACCCGTGGAGTTTCACGTGGCGGATTGTCCTTCGGCGTATAACGCCATTCTTGGACGCGGCTTCCTGGCTTCGTTCGAGGCAGTTGCATCCACATGCCACCAGATGCTTAAGTTCCCAAGCGGAGGACAAACCGGACGCGTTCGAGGTAACCTACAAGAGGCTAGGGAGTGCTACCAAGCCACCATTGAACACCTCGAAGTCGATCTGGTCGACACTAGAGGCGATGTCCCGAGGCCAGAAGCGGTTGAGGGGGACGTGGCGGTCGCGCTCGACACAGAGCGTCCAGAGAAGACCGTACGTATCTCCGCGCACCTCGCCCAAGAAGAGGCCGAGAAACTACTCGCACTCCTCAGAGAGTTCCAAGACCTCTTCGCGTGGGGACCCGAAGACATGCCCGGAGTCCCCAGAAGGGTCTCCGAGCACCGTCTCTCAGTCAAAGCCAAAGCGCGTCCCATACAGCAGCGAAGGAGGCACTTATCAGTCGAAAAGCAAATGGAATTGGAAGAGGAAGTGCGACGCCTCCTCAAAGCCGGATTCATCAGAGAGGTCAAGTACCCCACCTGGCTCTCAAATCCGGTCTTTGTACGCAAGGCTGGAGGCGCTTGGAGGATGTGCATCGACTTCACCAGCCTCAATGCGGCCTGCCCCAAGGACGCATATCCTCTCCCCCGCATTGACCAGCTCATAGACGGGACCGCCAATCACGAAGCTCTCAGCTTCCTGGATATGTTCTCCGGATACCACCAGATCAGAATGGCGGATGAGGATCAAGAGCTCACCGCTTTCATGACTCCCATGGGCAACTTCTGCTACGTAGTAATGCCCTTCGGACTGAAAAACGCGGGGGCGACCTATCAACGGATGGTGGATGCGGTCTTTAAGGAGCAAATGGGGCGTAACGTGGAGGCCTACGTCGATGACGTGCTAGTCAAAAGTAAGAAGGCGGCTGACCACCTGACCGACCTAAGGGAAACTTTCGAAACACTGAGGAAAAAGAATCTAAGGCTCAACCCGCTCAAATGCGTCTTCGGTGCTGAAGCAGGAAAGTTCTTAGGGTTCATGATCACTAAACGAGGGATAGAAGCCAATCCAAAACAAATCGAGGCTATACGCGGTCTGAAGCCGCCAAAGACCATCAAAGAAATCCAAGCTTTCAATGGGAAGATGGCCGCGCTCGGAAGATTCATCCCGCGGTCCGCCGACAAATGCTCTCCATTCTTCCAAATGCTGAAGAAATCGGCATCAAGGCTCCAATGGGGTGCAGAGTGCGACAAGGCCTTTCAGCTGTTGACGGACCAGCTCAGTCAACCGCCTGTTTTGAGCGCCCCCATCAGCGGAGAGCGACTCTACCTTTACCTGGCGGTCTCCGAGCAAGCTGTAAGTTCTGTCCTGGTGAGAAGAGCGCAAGACGGCTCCGACCGACCTGTCTACTACGTTAGCAAGGCGCTCCTTCCCGCCGAAACGAGGTATTTGCCCGTCGAAAAGGCTGTCCTCGCGG